TCAAGTATCAACTTCAAATTCCCAAAAAGCCAACCTAGTAAAGAACAAGAACCAACCTTGCACAACAAAATAAAAATGTGAAAGCATGAGAGGCAGCATTGAAACATTTGGGGGAAATGAATAAGACAGCAATCCATGTCATGAATAAAAATATATGATTTCACATTTGATGGCTAATTAACCTCAAATACATGTCTATTAGCAAGGTAAATGTGTGTGTTGAATGGTGAAGCCATACATCTCCTGGAAGTATTCGATAAACTGATTTCATTGTTGGGTTGTCATCTACAGGAAACCTGAATAGATTACCACTACAAATCAAAATCTTTCATTTCCTCAGAAAAAGGAAAAATAAAAGTAAGCCTTTTTGTTGCAATTTCATTGTAGCTACTAAATTGCCTCTAATAATTACTTCAATAATTCTTCATTAACAAGAAATTCAGAGAGAGAGTTGAAACTCACACTAGTTCGCTGGTAGGTTGAGATATCAATCCTGAAACACGGTATTTTCTCCATACATTCCCTCTGTGGGTTGCTCAACTTTCACTCCTCCAAGGGCCTTTTTAACCTGGTGGTAGTTTGAAAGTAAAATGTAATTAATTTGCCTCGAGTGAAGCCAGTCACAAGCATGAAGAAAAATAAAAGAAAAAAGTACCTTCACTCGATCAGAATAAGACAATGGGTACATCCTTGCCCAGAAGTTGGGCAACAAACTCTATTACAGGAAGAGGCTCAATGAAAGCAGCTGAAGCCATATCTAGAAACGTTATGAAGCATCCATGGATCAAAAATGGAGCACAAATAAAAGTAAATAATGCATCATCAAGAGAGGTGGTAACAAATCAATGTGTTAGGTAACAGTCAAGTTCCAAGATATGAGAGAACAAATTACAGAAGAATTACCCATAGACAATGACAAAGATACAGAGTAGAGCAACAAACTAAATTGACACAAATGATAAACCCAAAGAACAAGTTTTAGAAGAGCAGTCCAAATAAGGAAAGACTAGAGAAAATAACAGGTTTACAACCAATAATTGTTGTAATTGGCCTGTCCTTTTCCTCTAAAATGAAAATAATACACACAAAGAAAGGAAAGAGACAAAAAATGGGTTAAATCAGTTTCTACTATTTTTAACAAAATATTTTATCATTATAATTCACATGTCTGAAGATAAGGGATTAAACTAGTTCCACGTATCTGGGCCAAGTACTTAGCCACTTGCCCTTTAGTGGGAACACTAGCCCAGATTTTATGGTAGAGAAATGTTTCAATGCTCATGATTAGACACAAAATAAGGCACATGGTCTAACACCAGTCCATCAAACCACTATTGATTCCATCAACACAGAATGTAGACCACCATTTAATCAATGACATTTTTTTGATTCATATAACATAAACTTTTGATTTCATGAAATGAACAATAATAATATATCAACTTCAGAAAAGTAAAATTCACTCAAGAAAAGAACCAGTAGAACACACTAAAAATACAGAACATTCCCAAAACTTGATTAAACCAGATTTTAATAAAACCATTAAAAGAACCCCACAAGTTATTTTCAATCTTTTAAGAAGTCCAGATACACCCAGACAAACAGAAATTTCAATAGCATCAAAAAATAGGGGAAACAATCTACAACCATATAAGCAAAATTTAATTCCAAAAAGTAGTTAAACATATAAATTATCTTAACATAAGAATACAGTGCATTCTATGAATCACAATCCACACAAATAAGGGTCAGCTCAACAGAATGGAAGACAAGACTAGCAAATCGTTGCCAGAATAGTTGGGAATGAGAGAACGAAAGGGGATCTGAGTTACCATTAATGGTGAAAAGAAAAAGAAAAGATAGGTCTGAGACTTACTATCAGACAATCAATGCAATAGAGCCTCCTCGTCAGAGTAGCACCGGCTTCGACAACAAGTGAGATGGAGGAGAGCAAGAGATTGGGAGATCAACGGCCATGAGAGGGAGAAAGCGGAGGGTGAGAATGAGAATTTTTGTAAAGTCAGCAAAAACCCTCCATTTGCCCTTCAAATTTTCAAATTTGAGGCATTTTACCCCTCATATTACAATATATGATTTTTTACTTTCCATATTTTCGAGTTTAGGGAAATGAGACAAATTTAACGTCGGAAGGTCACATCCAGCACATGGATTGTTAATCTCTGTTATATATTCATGTGTCAATGCCAACTCAAATTTTTTTGACATTTTGGCAAGTCCAGCTTGCACCCTTTGCACCCTTTGTGAGCTGGAATTCTACCCCAACAATTTATTTATTTATTTATTTTTTCGTTCCTCAGCTTCCTCTTCCCTTTTTTCAACTTTTTCTTCAACTTCTGCAAATCTCTAACCTCTCAACCAATCTATTTACCCAATCAACCATGGGTTCAAAGGAACCTTGTGCGTGGGTTCCAAAGAACCCAACGTGGGTTCAATTGAACTCTCAACTTCTGCAAATCTCTAACATCTCAACCAATCTATTCACCTCAACCAATCTCTACCTGCTGGGTTCTTCATAATCATCAAACAAAACCCATAGAATTTTTTTTTTTTAATTTTTTGTCACTAGGTTCCAATGAAGCTAGGCATGCTGGGTTCCAAAGAACCTAGGTGTGGGTTCAATGGCACCCTCAACTTTTGCAAATTTCTAACAACTCAACCAATCTATTCACCTCAATCAAGCTCACCCTTGTTGGGTTCTTCATCATCATCAAATAACAAAACCCATAGAAAAACAAAAATAAAAAAAATTTAATTTTTTGCCATTGGGTTCCAACAAACCCAGGTGTGGGTTCCATTGGAACCTAGGCGCGGGTTCAATGGAACCCAGCCCATAGAAAACCAAAAAAAAAAAAAAATAATTTTTTGCCACTAGATTCCAACAAACGAGCGCTTGGGTTCCATGTGAACCCAAGTGTTGGGTTCCATCGAATCCAGGTGTGGGTTCCATGGAACCCCAACACCTGGGTTCTTTGGGTTCCATCGAAGGTCCTTCTATTTGCTGATGAATTCTGTT